CTATCTCTGGCGCGACGGCCCGATGTTTTTACCACGCGGCCGCTTTCGTCGCGAGTGATAACGTTTCAGAGACCGCTGGTGACGAACCTGGACCTCTGCGAAGCCCTGCTCGAGAAACTATGTCAGGCCGGCGTCGTCGATCTCCGCGCGGGGGCCCCGGCTGTCGCGCAGGACCTCGCTCTTTTCCCGGAGGATGCACGCCCCTGCCCCCATCCTCTGTCGCTGGAGCTCGGGCCGTAGGCTCGGCTGGATCGGCGTAGCCCTTGCGCATGGGATGGCCAGCGCCTTCAGAATGGCTGCGTCCGCGGCCGAAACCGCCAGTGCCCGGGCTGTATTTTCCAGCCGTGCCTGAACCGCCCGCTGCGCGGCGGGCCGTAGAGCTGCGGCCCCGGCGACCGCCCCCCTTGTAACCTTCCTGAGGTTCGCCAGAGCTGACTGGGGCCTTCCCAGGTTCACCCCGCATCGTGAATGCGTCGGCGCGGGTCTGGCCCCAACCCACCGTCGCCCGCCCCTCCTCCGCGAGCCCACGCGCTGTCGGGGCTGGGAGCGGATGTAGGCGATTTTTCTTGTGTCCGAGCTTTTCGGCAATTTCCGCGTCGGTGGCAGGCATGGCATCCGCATCTGACATGCAATCATCATCATCGTCATATTCGGATTATTCCTGCACGTGTCCCTTCCAGCGCGCGCCGACCCAATCCTCGATTGGGGGCGTCGATCCCGTCGTGGAAATACTCCGCGCACCGCTCGACGAACACGGCGGCGCCATGAAGGCGGGCCCTCAAAAACCAAGACGAACTGGCTTGAGAGGCAAAGGGATGATCTAGTTCGGGGAAATCAACGCAGTCGACGATGTCCGGGTCGGACTGGTCTGAGCCAAAAGGCACGGATCAACCCCCCATCCCACCTCCTCTGGAGCGCTGCTCTTAGAAGTGTTCGTCACTCCCGCTGGCGTTGCATGTTATTCGTTTTCCGCCCATACGCAATGGATTGAGCCGACGTCCCTCGCCTTTTCCTTGCGGTGCGCTTACGACATTTGCCTCTGCCTCTACATACAAAAGAATGATTCTTCAAAGTAGTAATCGGTCAATCGAGCCAGGAACGCGGCCGCGCCCTTGCTGTGCAACCTGCGGGCACGTCTACCACCGCTGCCACAACCCTTTCCTTCGCGGAAAAAGACGCGACGCACAGCTCGTCTGAACCTCCCAACTGGTTTCTTCATTTGTCGCCTCCACCTTATCCTTGCGTGATGATATCCTCGGTATAGGTATTGCGTAGCTGCATCATCGCCGGCGGGTAGGTCTGGCCAGTCGAGGTTTTCGGCATTGGTAGAGGAGGCCGCATCAGCGTCCGTACCGGAGTCGAATGCTTCGTCGTCCTGGTGGCTGGGTGAGCCCCAGAGGGTAGTCGCTTTGGGTGGTGTGTAGCTGGCCGCTGACGGCCAGCCCATATTTGAACCAGACGCCTGTTCGCTGTTGTTATTGGCGTCTTGGCCTAAAAGCGCAGTGGATTCAGTGGGCTCCCCATTATTCCATAGACTATTCGACATGGCTGCCGGTGTACCGCTTATCTGGGCGTAGTATGTGCCAGCGTTGTTCCCGCTGAAGATGCCCCCGGAGTTGCCTGGGGAGCGCTCAGCCAAATGTCCACGGTTGCGCCATCACCCAAGGAGTTGGTCATATTGCCGTTGAGCACGGGGCATATGATGGTTCAGCGGCTGCAGTAGCTTCGCCGCTCGTCTGGTACCAACACCCAGGGCGCGAAACAGGATCAGGGTAAGGATCTTGAAGTTTGGGATGTTGAAGCCTGCTGAGTCTGCTTCTAACCTGGCCATCTTGAATCGGGCCAGCACTGAGTCAATGCGCTCGCCTCCATCGACCCTGAAGTCGACGAGGGTTGTCCCCGAGGTGAGCTGTCGCTCGTCCTCAAGGTTTTCGAATGTAGTACTCGTGCGGTACATGATGTATGTGACTCCGTCGGTGCGTCTGACCGATGATGTAACACCATAGTTGATGATGGCGGATGGCATCCTCATGGCTAGTGTCCTGGCCAATCCTCCCAGACCGCGCTGTAAAGCAGCAGTCTGTTGAGGTGGAATCATGCTTCCGCTTGTGACGTGGAGCTGTTGTTGAGATGGAGGTATAGGACTGTAGGTTACCAGTTGGTTCAAGAACAGTGGGAGTATAGTGACTGAGAGCCGGCGCAGTCGGGAACTCCACTGTGCCATGGTAAGTTGTTTTGTACAAGCACCTGATGTAAGGGCCAACCACATGAACATGTAGCCAGCTCCGCTACCAAGTGAAAAGTAAGGGTGATGGGCTTGTCCATGAGGTAGTAGGCTGAAAACCTTACTCTTAAGATAACGTCGGCGACGTATCGAAGTATCTCACAAATCAATACTTCATGGCAAACATGACACGAAGTAAGAAGGAAACCATGGGATAGAGGAACGGATCGTAGATAAACGTGGCCTTTTGTCCGATGTGATGATCCCAGTCGGGTCGCACACGGCGGTGCAACTGGCAAATTTGACAGCGCTTTCTTGAGCCAAGACAGCGTCGGATATACCGTTGTCTATACAACATATCGTTAAACCTCGTTTAAAGTGAAGCGACGGAACCTTCAAAAGGAGGCCACCAACATGCACAAAAACTTCAAATATCGCAAGAAAATCATGTGTTTGGCGTTTTCGAACTTTCGCCCCCGATGACCAAGGCCTCAAGATGGCGCGCGCATGGCCCAGGAGCCCCAAAAAACGACCAAAAACAGCCCCCAGGCGGGCCCAAGAGCGCCTCAATAGGGCACCAAAAGGCCACCTCTGGGGCTCCCGAAGGGGAGACTAATTGAAGCCCCCTTTTTTTATCGACAGCCCTCAAAGCGCCCCTGAAGCTCCCAATAGCGCCCCAAGAGGGCCCCAAAATGTCCCCAAGAGGGCTCCAACAGGCCTCCAAGAGGCTCCCAAAAGACCCCATACGAGGCCTCAAAAGGATCCCCGAGGTACCCCAATCCCCCTCCTTTTCCTCCTTCTCCTCCTTGTCGTCCTCGTCTTCCTCGCCCTACTCCACCTCCTCCTCTTCCCCCTCCTCCTCCTTCTCCTCCTCCTCCTCCTCCGAGGACGGCAACGACGACGACGACGACGATCCTCCTCCATTCTTCCCCCTCTTGGCTTCCCCTCTTGGGGTATATTACGGTTTCCCCTGCCTTTTGTTCTTCTGCATGCTCCCACACTTCCCTGTTGACCGCAACTCCCCCGGGCTGGTGGGAATACGCGGAGCGTCAACCATTTATGCCAACAGTGACAAAATATGGACCGGCGGAACGTGCGAAGCGATGAAACAATATGACAAGACGAATGAGGGTGACGCAAGCGAGCGAGATGGCCAAGCATCCTGGTGGACGCACGCGCTGCCTGGCAAGAGCGCTAGCGGTTCCTGCCTGGCTCCTCCATGGGAAACTATGGAAGTCAGACCAAACAAATTGTCGGTGTCACCCCAAGAGGGCCCCGGGAGGCCCCCAAAGAGTTCCGAAACTTCCCCGTAAGCTCCCAAAGCGGCCCCGGGGAGGCAACGATCAGGCTTCTACTCACTCGGGCCACTGCAAACCAGGATCAATCGGATTTTGTTGGATCCTGCGCGCTCTCCCCGGTCAGTGCAACCCTGGCTTCGCACTTTGCAGGGTCCTGCAAGATCCGGCGCTCTGGCTGACCTTCGTTTGCAGTGGCCCCCACCTCCGCTGGCCCCAACCAGGAGGCTTCCCAGAACGCCCGGGGATGGCTCAATTGTTTCTCAACGCAGCGCCTGTGCACAAGACGGCACCGCCACGCGAGACGCCGCGACCGCGCCGCCGCCCCAAGCCGCACTCCCGCGGCACGGCCCGCCGCTAGGCACGGGCCCAAAGGGCAAACGGAAGGCCCCGCCGTGCTCCGCGCCGTTCCCGCGAGGGGAGAAGAGGCCAGCGGCGCCGGTGCAGAGCGGGCAGGGCCCCCACCTCGCCCAAAGGACAGGGCAAAAGAGTTTGGACTCTGGGACCGAGCCACGACACGACGCGAAGACGACCGACGGACGACAACGAACGACAAGGGGGAAGACGGCGCCGATCCCGCCCCAAGGCGGCGAATGCGGCGATAGAACTCCCGCACCGCCCTCGGGGAGGACACGGAACTTGGAGGCCCTTTGGGAAGGAACGCTCAGGTGCGGGGGCTTGGGCCCCGAAAGCCAGGTGCCCCTCGCATGCACCAGTGGGCGCTTTGGCCCGACACCCCGCTTATGGGGATGCCCCTCCGGGGCGCTTGAGGATGGCTCCAAAAACTAACAGATGGTTCCCTCTCAGCTTCCCGTGGAAGAGTTCGGGTGACTGCTGGGTTTCCTTGCGCCTCTCCGCGATCACTGAGACAAGAGGAGTCCGTGGAGACCGGAGACCTTCGCGGTGCCCCGAGGCCACCCAACTTGGAGACGAGCACAAGAAGGAGAGTGGTGAGGGCAGGAAAAGCGAGCATCGAATCGGGAAATCGGATTGGATCGGAACGCGTATCGAATCAGATCACATCGGCTATGAATCGGAGTCGAATCGAATCGGCGGTGCCAAGATGCAAAACATCGCCACGCAACCATCGGACCGCATCGGACCGCCGGAAAGCCGGAATCGAATCGAATCGGGCCGCCGAGAGCCGATATCGACTCGGATCGATCGGATCGGAATGGACCCTGGAAGGTGGTAGGGCGGCTGCCCCTCTTCTCCATTTCACGATACGCTCCTGCACTCCCCTAATCAGGACAACTCACATAGGAAACGGTTATCCATGGGTCGGTGGGATCGCGCGACACGTCACGTAGCCGAAATAGAAAAATTCGATGGCGTCACCGCTGTCAGAGCTGCTCGGCTGGAAGGGGTCAATTTAAGCTTCTGGCTACGACCTCGGGGCGAAGAACGAGAACGCGAAGGAGGGGTGCTCCTACAACACTAGAATAATGTCGGGGTGCGGCGTCGCACGCGAAGCGGCATGCATAGCAGCACGGCCATCTTCATGGAAGTTCTGTTCAGCATCCCTTCGTCTACATCAATCGAGGTATGGGCCTCAGCGTGAGTTCAATGGGGGAATGTCTAAGAGATGCCAAAATCTTGAAGCCACTTCATGAACAAATTATAGCTGAGCTACCGTAGAACATTGTCCGGCGCACACCCATCGCCCAGGCCCAGAATGAAGCTACAATCTCTCCACACCTCTTGCTGCTGTTCCCAACACCGGACGATGCCCGCAACGTCTGGATATCCGGCGCCTTGCTGCGCAATTTCCCGAAGCGCTGTTGTTGTAGGATATGCGCGGAAGGGCCCCTGGATAATGTTGTGCGCACGTGGCTAAAAGGATGAACGGTGACCCAACAGTATCTTTCGTACATCTGTGCAGCGCGTCTGTGTCAGACACTCATCTGCACTCTACGCTTGCGGTCTGTACACTTGCGCATGTGGACGCGCAAAGGCAACACCGAACGCTAACGCGCGCGCATCGCCGCGCTGCTTAGATCCCGACTTGCACACCATCACTGAACCACGCGGCCTCATTGCCCGCTGATGTGTTAGGGATTGCGCTCATTTGAATGCAAATCCGTATTGTGTCAAGACTGCCATGTATTATGCACAGAGCTCCATCGTGAGCTGGCTTGGGTGAAAGAATTAAGACCCTGGACAGAGTTACCATCACAGGGGCGCCAATACGACATGCAAGGACGCGTGTAACAGTGTCAGACCTCGGCGGCGCAGGATGATGCCAGCCCCGGTCGAATCCCACCAGCCCTCTAGGGCGTGAGTGGTTCAGAGCGTTTCTTATTCCCACCCCCTTCTTCCCCTTCTGGGAAAGGCTCATCACTGCTCCATAATAATGAACACCCCTCCCCAGTCGACCGGCAGCCAACCAGGACCACTGAAACCCCTCCCACCACCATCCCTGTCAAAAAACAATGTGAAGTCCACTCTGGGGCAAAATCTTGGGTCATGATCGGGGGGGCGCGAGCACTTTGTATTGTTGTTTGACAGAGACGGCGGGGGTGCCCGCACATTGCCTGCTGCACGCAGCATCCCTTTCAAAAAACAATATAAAATACACTTCGAGGCAAAATCTGAATCATGCGCGGGCACCCCGCGATCACTGTGCATTGGTTTTTGACTTGGACGGCGGTGGTGCTGGTATTTTGCCTGTCAGGTGAAGCCAACCAGACGCTATGATGGCCACCCCGCCGCGATTGTGCACTGGTTTTCGACAAAGGTGGTGGGGGCCGACACGTTTCCCGATGTGTACTGCCGCGTGCGCAAGCGCACCTGGCACGCTCTGCGCGTGCCCCGAACGTTGCGCACCTGGCGCGGCTGAAGCATGCGCCACACATGGCGCACGTGGATTACTTGGCGCATCTGGCGCACCAAGCGTCCCGGCACGCTTGGGCCACGGGGATGCCTGGCGCACCTGGCGCCCCTGGCGCGCCTGGCACCGCAGCTCGCCTCCACGTTGCGCACGTGGGCTCTGTTTTGCTTCCCCTTAGCTGTCCATCCGAAGACTGCCGCTAAACACGCTGCGGCTCGGGTGCTACTTATGTATTGGGCGGGTGGGAGTGAACGAGACGGCTTGCGAGCGAGGAGGGTGTCTTGTCCACTGCTCCTCATCAATAGTATACACCCCCTTCCCCACCCGACTGCGGGCCAGGCCAGCCCGAGACATGCCTGGCCCCCACCATCCCTGCCACAAAAAACATAATGCACTTTGCCTCCAAATCTGGAGCATGCGCGGGCGCCCCGCGACCACTTTGCAATGGTGTTTGATAAGGACTGCGGGGGTGCCGTCAGAATGCTCCCTGCGTGCAGGCCAACCATCCGTTAAAATACAATACAGAATGCACTTTACCTCCACATCTAAAAGCATGCGCGGGCGCCTCGCGGCCACTTTACATGTGTTTTAAGCAAGGACTGTGGGGGTGCAGTCAGATGGCTCCCTGCGCGCAAGCCATCCATCCCTGTCAAAAACAATGCAGAATGCACTTTGCCTCCACATCTGGAGCGTGCGCGGGTGCCCCGCGACCACTTTGCATTGTTGTTTGACTCGGACGGCGGGGGTGTCGTCAGATTGTTCCCTGCGCGCAGGCCAAGCATCCCTATCAAAAAACCCATAACGGAATGCACTTTGCTGCCTCCAAGAATCTGCAGCATGCGCGGGCGCGCCGCGACCACTTTGCATTGGTTTTTGATGCGGACGGCGGGGGTGCCGGCATATTGCCTAAAAGTGGAGCGCGTGCCGCACCTGGCGCGCCTGGCTCGCGTAGGCCTCCAGGGTGCCTGGTGCACCTGGAACCGGTGGCGCACATGGCATGCGTGGCGTTTCTAAGCAACATGCTGAGACTCTCTCGGGTATTCCTTGATGTGTTGGGAGGGCGTGGGAATGAGCAAGACGGCTTGCGGGCGAAGGGGTAGCCTCGACCCCTCCCCCTGCCGCCTCCCTCTGGACCTGGACGGGGGGATCCGCGACCGACTGGGGCGCAAGAAGGCCTCGGCGAGAAGGCAAACATCATTGATTCTGCTCAGGTTTTGGGCCCATGTTGGCCTCCTGGTGGGGGCTCTAATCGACTACCACCCCCTTCTTTGGCCAATCACCTCCAACATGGCCTCCAGCTCGCCCCGAGGCTACAAAGAGTGCCCCCAGAGTGCCCCACCAGGGCCCCACAAGGCGCCCAAGAAGTCCCCAAGAGGCACCCAAGAGACCCCGAGAGGCCCCCGAGAGACCCCAAGAGGCCCCACGAGGCTGCATGAGGCTCCCTCGAGGCACCCAAGACGCTCGAAGCTCTAAGATCCCTCACAGAAGCTTTCAAAGGACATGCGAAGAGACTCCAAGAGGCATCCAAAAGGCCTCTGGCCATTCTGACCGCCCCTCTTTCTCCTCATCCTCCTCCTTCTCCTCCTCCTCCTCCTCGTCATCCTCCTCTTCCTCATCCGACTATTCCTCCTTGTCCCTCCTCCGTTCCCCCGCCCTAACCCTCCCCTTCCTCCTCCGATTCCTCCTCCATCCTCCCCCTCTTGGGGGATGACCACTTCCCCAACCGCTGATTCCACTGCATGCTCCTCCGAATCCCTGATGAGGGCAACTCGTCTGGGCATCGCTTCTGGATGGACTGGTGGTATTATGCGAAGCGTCCAGAATTGACAACATGTCATAGTGATTCGCCTGGGGTATCATCCTCCTGCGCACGCACCTGGCCTCTGGGGGTCCCTCGTCGATTCAAGCTACCCCTGTACTCATCCGAACATGTTTCATCCCTCCTGACTTCGCTCACCACTCTTATCGGCACCATGCTAATCCCGTGGCCGTCTGGCGTGTTCGCGTGTCCTCGCAACTGCCACTTGGGCACAGCGCAGCGCGAAACTGGATGGGAAGGGAGAGGACGACGAAGACGATGATGAGGAAGGTCTGCGTGCGGTGTAGCAGCGCCACCTAGACCCTGAAGGGGTGGGGCGGAGGGAATAGGCTGTGCAAGGGGGTGGGCCCGTCCTCGAGAAACTGGAAGATCATCTTGGACCGGAAGCCCCAGAGCGGTATCTGCACGGCCACGACACTCAGGGCCATCCCCCAGAAATACATGTAGGTGTCGTTCAGCCTGCCACGGGCGAGCAGCGCTCGACGGCACCGCACCCACCGCTGTCGGCGCAACCATTTTCGCCTCCACTGATCCTGGAGTGATAGTGACCAGCTGACGGAATGACTGATCCAGTTCGTGCGAACGAGTGTGCGAGCATGGAAAGAAGGAATCATAGAAGAAGGGGAGGAAGATGAGTGAGAGGAGGGGACGGAGGAGGAACGATGTAAACCTCCTGGGGTCGGAGCCGGAGGAGGATGGAGGACATGGAGGAACATCATTCCGAAATGAAGGGTTTTGCTGGCGCTGAGGCGACAAACGAGCCAGGAGTGCGGCTGGAGCTTCGGCGAGAGTCCGGCTGGGCCACGGACAATCGCAGGGAGCCGTGGGAATGGCAGCGCCCATGGTGGCCCGCTGCCAACTTGAAAATCTGGGAAGATCTAGGGCCTGACTACTCACCGTGCCCTAACATTTTGGCGGTAACGCGTAAGGCAATAAGTCAAATAACGAGGTGTACGATGTCCGTACACAAGGCGTTCCGCTGGACCCCCCAAGGGCTCAGAAACTGCAGTTCCTCCTTGAGCCGCAAATGAGGGAGCAAGATTTCGTTTCGATGTTCTGGGCTCAGAAAATTCCGGCCCCCCTGTGCGCTCCCCCGATGGCCCGCTGCTGCCCGCCCCCAGCGCGCCAGCGCCTCCTGCCTGGCGCGCCACTCAGCCCCCCCTCGCTCCCTGGCCACCCTGGCCCTTGCGCCGCGCCGCTCTGGCGCGCGGGCCCGTGTTCGGGCACCCGCACCGGCCCGTTGGCCTCAGTTGCGTTGCCGCCAGTGTAGTCACCACCTGGTCGCTGTATGGCGCCGCCGCGCTGCTTCGCCCTCGGTCTGCCGCCCCAACGCGACGCCCCACCCCTGACGCGGCTGCCGCGCCAGTGCACTGGGCAACGCACAGTCGATGCACCTGGTGGAGTCAGCACTTTGCCGATGGCACTCCGCGGGCTCTTGTCCTGGTTCTACTTGATCTTCACCACCACCGCGCCCTGGCAACGCCCGCGGGTGCGGCCTGGCCCCAGCCTGGGCTGCTGCCGCGGCCTCTGCTGCCCTGGCTGGCCACTCTGGCCTGCTCGCCGCGGAACGCTTCCACGTCTGAGCGCCCTCCCCCTCCTCCCGTCGCGCGGCCGCCCTCGCTTTCGCTTTTTTTTTTTTCTCTCTCTCTCTCTCTCTCTCTCTCTCTCTCTTGCACGCCAGACAATTTGCCATCGGTTGCCCCGGTTAGCCCCGCGCTGATGCGGACTGACTCTGCCTCGCCGCCGACGAACAACGTGTGTTAGCCTCGTTCCGATATTCAGAACGCCGCCCCGCTGGACTGCCCAGAGGCTGAGAAAGTGGCAGAACTTTTACATACATTCACATCTTGCAGCACCCAGACAACGAGGACTGCAGGACCGATGCGTTTGCGGCACCCAAGGAATTCGGTATCAATTTTTGATGCGCATCGGGTGCCGTTGCGATGGGCTCCCCAAAGGTTCAGAACAGCACCCATGGGCCGTAGTTCCGATGCCCTGAGAAAGCTAGGAAACCGCCCCTGCGTATTGATTTGCCAACAGCGCGGAAAATGCGATCACCTTTTTCATTCACAGCACTCGGTGCACGCAGGCAACCACTCCGCTGGACATCTCAGGGGCGCCAGAGCAGGCGATGCTCGTGAGGTTGACAACGCTCCGAGGAGCGGAGTAGAGTCTAGGTTTCTATGCCCGTGGGATGCCGCTCCTGCGTGCCCCAGTGTCTCAGCTAGTTGCGGCGCTTCCTTCTTTTTGCTTTGTTCAGCGCTATTTTGGAAGGGAGGATTAGGAGCGGACGCCCTAGCACGATGACAAATTCGGTGGTGCAAACGAAACGTGAAACCGCTGAGCTACCTCAAATGGCGTGCACGCGAGCGGAACTGAAACGTCCAGCCGCATTGACGTGCTATCCTGCAAGAAGTGGCGAACCATTTGGGTGAACTTGTCGTGAGAACTTACGTCATCCTGACCCCTGACGCCGGAGAGAATAGGCCCACCAACCGCCCGCCCTGTTCCTTTTCCGGGAAATCCGAGAGATCCGGGAAATCTGAGAAATCTGGCGACGAATTCCAAACTGGCGTCCTCGCGTGATATCATCAAGAAGACGGCCCCCCTGAGCCTCCCCAAGGAGGCCCTTAGATGCCCCCTTGTTACGTTTCAGGGAAATGGGGGAAATCTAGCGACGAATTCCAAACCGGCGCCATCGCGTGGGACATCACAAAAATCAAGCTCCCCGAGCCTCCCCAAAGAAGCCCTCGGAAGGCCCTTTGTTCCGTTTCCGAGAGATCCGGAAAATCCGGCGACGAATTCCAAACCAGCGCCATCGCGTGTGTAAAGTCGTATGGTTGCGACCAAAGAAGCCCTTACCTGGTTTGTCAATTCCCCACCGCGGCCCCCGACAGACTGGGCCGTCGGCAAACCGGTCCCCCCCCAATTCACAATCGCGAAAACGATAAAACCGTTCAAGAAAAACACAACGCGCAGAAACTGTCAAACGACCAGACAATCCAACTGCAAACGAAAGCCACGCTGCCGATAACGCGCGGTGGTGGAAGGGCCGCTGCCCTGCATCCAACCACGACGCGCGCAAAGCCTTTCGCAATCCACGCCCACCCAATCACCGCGGCACGAGCGGAAAGCCAAATGGCGAAGGCCAGCCCCCTGGAGGGCCAGCCTACGGGACGGGCGCAATAACAGCGGCAGCCTTTCCTGTGGACGGCCTGCATATGGCAGGGGCGGGATGCACCAAGGACTCCGACTAGGACGGACTGACCACGGCAAGGGCGAGGAAAGGATGAAACAAAACTGGACTTTAGCCCTTAACGCCATGAGCCGGATAGCGTTTGGGCATAATCAGTGGCTGCGCGACTGCGTGCATCATGCGTGGCCTCAGACACGAAGCCACGCGCGCGCAAGACGCTCCAACTCGCTCGAGGGCCGAATGTCCGAGCACGTACTACCTCGTCAGAGCAACCAGTCCAAACAAACTGGGGGGGAATTGATTGATCCCCCCCCTCCCTGCAGCGCGGCTCGGCGATGATATTCGGCGCCATGATTAGACATGTTCTCGAAGGCTCCAGATTTTCATGGATGGTTACAATCCTCGCCAATCTGACCCAGACACAACGAACACTAATATATCCCCGAGCTTGCTCTGCACCTCTTAGTGGTCGACGACCGAGGCGCGCGGAATCAATTGAAGCGCGGAGGCCTACACTGGCCCTGCGCAACACGCGTCCACCAAAAGCCTATTCGCGGCCCGGCACAGGGCACCAGGCCGGATCCCAGTCCGGGGCCTTCGCTCGAGACAACCTCCCGGTCGACCCCCCGGCGCGCGAGAGCGCCCCCGGGACGATTTCTGGGGCTTTGCCGGCGCGCGCCCGGGCGCGCCGGGGCGCGTCCCTCCCGGCGCGCGGGAAAATCCGGCCCCACCGCGCCCCCAGGGACCATTTCCGGGGATCTGGGCTGCCAACGCGCGCCTGGGCGCGTCGGGGCGCACAGGGCGTGCCCCAGTCTGGGGCTAAGGGCTCCAGACATCCCCGCAAAAATCGGCACGAGCGTGTCCCATTCTGGGGCTCAGGCTCGGGACACCCTCGCAAAGTCACCAAGTCGCCCCCCGAGGGAAACCCCCGAGGAGGATGATGAGGATGAGCACGGAGGAAGACATAGGAGGTCGGAGAAGGGGGGGAGGGAGGAAGGGCGGCAGAGGAAGAGAAGGACGAGGATGAGGATGAGGATGAGGATGAGGATGAGGATGAGGATGGAGGAGGAGGAGGAGGAGGAGGAGGAGGAGGAGGAGGAATTGGAGGAGGCGTTGGAGGAGGAGGGGGAGGAGGAAGACCCCCACTCCCCTGATCCTGACCCTCGCGAGAATCGCCGTCCTGATCCTCGCCCTCCTCATCTTCGCCCGCGGCACCACCGCCTCCCGCACATTCTCCTCTCACCCACAAGCGCGCCCCTTCATCCATATACAGAAACTACCGATCAACCGTACATCGGCCGCTTAGTACATGGTAACCTCCCCCACGCGCAATCCGTGCCCAACGACCGTGGATGCACCGTGAAGTACAAAACCTGCAGTGCCCCAAACTTGGGTAGAGGGAAAGGAGGAAAAAGACGAGGCGGAGGAGGAAAGTGGGCGGCAGCATGGTGGCCATGGAGGGAAGAAGGAAACATAGGGGGAGGGGGGAGGAGACGAGGAAAAATCAGCGAACACCGTCAAGACGTGACAAGTACTTCATCAAGTGAACTAATGCGCCGAGGGGCTCAATCAACTCGAAGGTGTTGTCAGTGGTTGAACCTCCGCCACGAGCCGTGCCCCAGCAAAGATCCCCGAAGGCCGCCGTGACCCGCTGCCACGGCCAAGGAAGGCGACGTGCTGTGCTACAGCAACATGTTCCCCCCCCCACCTGTTCTGGTACCGTGCAGGCGGCCGGGGGGGGGGCGCCCCACACAATCTCAGGGGCAGCAGGATACCAACCAACCCCTGGACCTGCACCGAATCTGAGCCCGAGAGGCCCCTCAGCAGCGACCCGGCGGGCAAGGCGGTGACCAATGACGTCCCAGGCTCAAGAGCAGGACGCACGTGCACGCAGCAATAAGCCCAAGCGAGGCACCTGAACAAAACTCAAACCAGTACCTCGGCAAAAGCTGGTCCACTGTAGCAGCGCCCTGCTCGCTGCACAGCTGTGATGGCCCCTTGTATACAAACATGCAAGCATACAGTTGGGAGAAAAGGAGGAGGAGGAGGCGGAGGAGGAGGAGGAACAGGCGGAGAAATACGAACATGAACATGAACGAGCTCGGAGACTCCTGCAACGAACGCCTGCCGACTAGCCTCTCGACAGCACAACATAATCACGTGAGGAATCTGAATTGGGCATCTACAAACCCCATTGAAAACAACGCAGTAGGCCTGCTGCGCTCAGCTGGAGCGGCACACGCCAGGCTGGGCACCAAGTGCG